TGGTCTGTTTGTTGGGATTTTGTGAGGTTTCCCATGCTGCACTGATTTTCTTCCTTTGTGACACACAGCACAGGAAAAAAGCAGCTGCTGCTGCTCGCGTTTGTTCTTGACATCCAATATCTGTCAGGTTGGGCCATTATTGGGCTGATATTGTATATTCTGATCCTGGTCTAATAGCTTGGCCTGCATTAACTGCTTGGATCTGACCCTGTTCTTGAGCTACATTAGATTTCCTGCATTGGTTGGTGGACAAAAAAGGCACAACCTCGTTTTCCAACCTGTTTTTTGGCCAGTGGGTCCTAGTAGCTGCACGCGGAAAAGCACTCCTGTTGTAACTCCCTAAATCTCTAAGCCAAATGATCTAATTTAAAAAAGCAGTGGTAAAACTATTTTGGTTTCAATAGGGGGAAAATTAAAGAGAATGGCATGGGGAGTGTTCTACAGGAATAGTTGCAAATAAATGAATCTGCAATTTGAAGTCAAAATGCTAGGACAAATGGTTAAGATCAACAAGGACAAAATCATTCTATTCAGTAAATTAATTATTATGGCTACAAACTATGGTAACTTAAACCTTTATATTAAGCTAACAACAGATGACTGTGAATCAATAATTGAGGTAAAGAGGACCATGTATACTTCCTATGTTTGATATATTGTATGTTCGTACCAGAGTCAAATTCCTTGTGTGTCCAACACACCTGGCCAACAAAGCTGATTCTGATTCTGATATTTGAAAACCATTAGCCTTTATGGCTATACCACAGCTGAACTCAGCCATGAGCAAAGTAGGTTAAACTACAAGTTGTGAAGTAAATGCACACTGTACTGTAAAAGTTGCCTCTGTTTCCCTAACTCTGTAAATTCATGTTGCATAGAGCTGCATACCCTTCAACCGACGGGTAAGATTTGGTTTATGTAAACAAGTGAATTATGCATTCAGCCATCAAGCAGGACATGAGCAACATCTGCCTACTGTGCAGTTGACTAGCTTATATGAGGAGTGTTTCCACAACAGCCAATCTTTAGGGAGAAGTACATGAATTCCTCCTCAAAAAAACATCCTGCATGCCTGCTAGTATCCCCCTCCCCTCGTTCCAGTGTCTCGTTTTCTCTCTTTATGCTGCTCCCTCACTTCACAAAGCTCCCGAATGAAGGGACTTGTCATCGATGCACCTCCTCTGTGTCATGTTTTTCCTTCTCCTCCTCTTCACCCTCTCTCCCTCTTCTCTGTAACTTTCACTTGCTGTGCCTTGTCTTCCCCAGAGCCTGTCCACAATGACAGTGCTGCCCCTCCGGATGTTGCTGGGTTGACAGGGAGAAGGGAGGCCTGGAAAACACAGGGAGACCTGCTTGCACTCGCACCAAGACAGTCAGATATGAATAGCGAAGGAAAAGGAAAGACATATGGAGACATAAACATAGGAAGGGGAGGGAAGTTAAAGAAGTAGAGGTGGGGGATAGGAAAAATAGAGAGAGAGCAGAGGGATAAAAGTCAGTTTAGTCTCAGACAATACAGAAAGAAAAGGGGAAAAATATAGTATGATAAAGCAAAATGATGGATGATTAAGAAAAAGATAAAGAGCAGAGAGAGGGTGCAGTCAGGGCTGTAGGGATATGAAACCACCTCAGGCAATATTCCTCAGACTCAGCTCTCTCAGAGTGAAAATACAAAAACTTTTTTATGCTATAAACTTTGCTGTGTTGTAGACAGAGCTTAGGAGTAACTGCAGTACTGTAAGTATGATGAGGAATACAAATTCTAACATAGCTTTGACTGCAAAACAGACTTATCATAGAGAAATCTATTTTTTTCTTGATAGGTGTAATCCTTTTGACTATAGGACATTAAAGCATCAACAGTGGGCTGCCTGTGAGGTTAAGCGGAATGAACTTGTGGCCTATCGACCTGCTGACACAGACTCGATGTTTCATCACAGTGCAGCCACACTTGGAGCTGTTTTGTTTGTTTGTTTGTGTTATACATATATTCTCCCCTTTTCCTCGTGTTTTAATAGGTGATACAGTGTTTTAAACCATATTGGAGCTCACAACATTTTAATTAACTGGCCAGTCTGCTGGTGACTTCTCATTTCAGCCTGTAAAACAGCTGCTGGCTAGCAACGAGAAGGTTGTTTTTGCCCCCAAGAACCCATCAAAAATTACAATCAATTTCAAGTGGTAAATCTTTTACCTTTTCTCATTAAAAAGCATGACAGGTGTATCAACTCTGACTAAAGAGGCGGGGCTTAGTATAAAATCAGCTGAACAGCACTTGAAGTACTCTCTGGGTTTTTATTTTAACCATATTTGGAGACTGTAATTCTGGTTGTGAAATAAGTGTGTTTTTGTGTGTATGCATGGGAGGTTCAGGGAGGTGGGCAAAACCTAAGCATTTTTGACTGTGTTAGAAGAACAGGTTTGTAGAGCTAATGTGAAACATGTATGTCTCTCTCTCTCTCTCTCCTACCCATTACTTTGCTCCTTTTTGCTCTCTCTCCTTCTGTCATCATCATAAAGTAAATTGGCTTGCTACACAACAAGATGTTCTTTTAATGTGAAGTAGGTCATCACATACTGTGGTATAATGACTCACTCAGGATCCTGCATGGGAACACCTAGCTTTTGTCAATTTTATCATTTGAGATATGTTTTTGTATGTACTATGAACATGATACAAATTGGTAAACTATACATTGTTTTCCTGTTTTGTTGCTATATTATTGCCATGATTCTGTCCTGCCTGTTTCCGTTCTTGTGCTTTTATTTTGATATTATTTCCTGTTTCTGTTTCACCTCAGTTTCTGACTTTTTACTTTAATCAGCACTTATTGTTTTCACCTGTTTTCACCCCGATATAAGCAGCTTTCCCTCCACCGGAAAGCTGCCAGATTGTTCTCTAACCCATGTCAGACTTTCCAGTGAGTTTCTTGTGACTGTAGTTCCTGTTTTGACCCCGGATTGTATTTTGACCACTGTGTACCGCCTTGCCCTCCTGATTCGGACTGCTTTCTGTGTATGGATTATCGGACTGGATCCCTCGGCTGTGTAAGTTTGCTGGCTCTAATCCTGGACTGTATTTTTGACCTGAGTGTGTGTGTTTCATGTTTACTTAGTTTTCTGTATGGTTTTGTTGTCCATGCTCTTATTAACGTTTTTTCACTTATCTTTGTCTGGCTCTATAATTGAGTTCATATTATCGCCAGCTTTCCGTGCCGATCCTGACAACTATGAGGTAAAGCAAACATGTCTATTTATTTACAAAGGATAATTATATATTTTCCAACATGAAACTGATTATTGGCACCCCTGCATTTTTGTCAGATAATACACCACTTCTCCAAGAAAACTGTTGCAATCACAAATTCTTTGGTATTCTCTTTTTTTTTTTCTTTGTTTGCATTAGAACAACACAAAAAAGCTGAAAAAAACAATTCCAAATCTGATATAATCAACACGACTTCAGAAATGGGCTGGACAGAATTACTGACACCCTCAACATAATATTTGGTAGCACACCCTTTGGACAAAATAACTGAAATCAATCGCTTGCTGTAACTGAGTTTCTTTCAGTCCTCTACTGGAATTTTGGGCCACTCTTCATTTGCTAACTGTTCCAGGTCTCTCAGATTTGAAGGGTTCCTTCTCCCACTGCTGAAGCCAAATGAATCAGATCAGCTGGCCAAATTTCAAGCACCCAGACATAAACAGTGATGTGGTGTATGCAATTAAGTGTAGTGTAGGATATGGTCTGTCTTACCATGCTAACTCTGAGAGACGAGGCAGTCCAAGTAACTTCAAAACGGTACTGATTTATTCAAAGGATCACAGGTAAAATTAACATTACACGCTCAAGTGTCTTGCACCTCCAACATGCACACAGGCAGATGTAAGATGAAGTTTTTCCTCCCCACTGTCGCCAAGTGCTTGCTCAAGGGGAAATTGTTGGGTTTTCCCTCTGTAATAATAGTGATAACAGTATGGTCTAGGCCTTACTTTGTAAAGTGTCCTGAGATGACTTTTGTTGTGATTTGGTGCTATACAAATGCAGTGGGGCAAATAAGTGTTACACTGCCAATTTTCAAGTAGTCCCACTTACAGAATGGAGAGAGCTGTAATTTTTATTGTAGGTACACCTCAAATGTGAGAGATGGAATCTAAAAAAAAACAAAAAAAACCAGAAAATCATTGTTAGATTTTTAAATAACTTATTTCCATTTTATTGCATGAAATAAGTATTTGATACAATAGAAAAATAGAACTTAATATTTGGTACCAAAACCTTTGTTTACAATTACAGAGGTCAGGTGTTTCCTGTAGTTATTGACTAGCTTTGCACACACTGCAGCAGGGATTTTGGCCCACTCCTCCACACAGGTCTTCTCCAGATCTTTCAGGAGTTTCAGCTCCCTCCATAGATTTTCTATTGGGTTCAGGTCTGGAGACTGGCTAGGCCACTCAGGACCTTGAAATGCCTCTTATGGAGCCACTCCTTAGTTGCCCTGGCTGTGTGTTTGGGGGCATTGTCATACTGGAAGACCCCACAAGGCAAGATCTTGTATGGAGCCCCAGTCCAAGAAGATTGACAGTCATCTTGAATTTTTTTTTTTTCCATTGTCTAATAATCCCACCAACAGTTGTTGCCTTCTCACCAAGCTGTTTGCCTATTGTCCTGTAACCCATCCCAGCCTTGTGCAGGTCTACAATTTTGTCCCTAGTGTCCTTAGACAGCTCTTTGGTCTTGCCCATAGTGGAGAACTTGGAGTCTGATAGATTGTGTGGACAGGTGTCTTTTATACAGGTGCAATTAATACAGGCAATGAGTGGAGGGTAGGAGGGCTTCTTAAAGACAAACTAACAGGTCTGTGAGAGCCAGAATCCTTGCTGGTTGGTAGGTGATCAAATACTTATTTCATGCAATAAAATGGAAATGAATTATTTAAAAATCATACAATGTGATTTACTGGAATTTTTTTCCCTGTAGATTGTCTCTCACAGTTGAGGTGTACCTACGATGAAAATGACAGAACTGTCCATTCTTTGTAAGTGGGAAAACTTGAAAAATTGGCAGTGTATCAAATACTTATTTGTCCCACTGTAAAATTTGATTTGATCCGTCTTGAGATCTCTCCACAGGTGTTCTTTGGGATTAGGATCTGGACTCGTTGCTGGCCACATCAGAATTCTCCAGCACAGTGTCTGAAACCATTTCTGGGTGCTTTTTGAAGCCTGCTTTGGGTCATCCTCAGACAATTCTTTGCTCTTCTTTCATTTCTCCATGCTCAATTTGGTACACATGAGGCAAAGGATGAGTCAACTTTTGTCCATTTTAACTGGTTGCAAGTGTGATTTCTATATTGCCAGCACCTGTTGATTGCTACAGGTGCATTTCAAATTACAAAATTAACAAGCATCACATGCTTAAATACAATTATTTCTGATTATTTTGAAATGGTGTCACTAATTTTGTCCAGTCCATTTTTGGAGTTCTGTGTGGAATGCATCAGATTTGACAATTTTCTCTTTTTTTGTGTTGTGCCAATGCAAACAAAAGAAATAAATGAGAATACCAAAGAAAAGTGTTCTGGTGGTGCATTATCTGACAGAAATGCATTATTTTTGGCCATGACTGTACATGTTGTTTCTGAACTAAAATCAGGGTTGCTATTTGGGTAATTTTAAATAAGGATAATTATCAGGAGGGAAGTACAATTTAGCCTCACATTTATAAAGGGCACTAGGTTTAATTTAGTCAGGCACAGCATGATACTGAAAAGAGAAAAATAATGAACAAACAGGCCCAGGGTACATTATTTCTTTTTCCTTTTATTCTTTGCCCATGTGAAGCAAATATCCAGGTAATAAGGAGCATAATGAGAATTTTGAGACCCATGTTTTGGAGTGTGCTGATGTCCAGGTTAGTTTCTTTGAGGCTTTAACCAAGCACAAGCAAACTGCTTGGTGTCCGTCTAAGACAGACAGATGCTGTGAGCCCAAACCTGCTCTGTGAGTCTTGGCTATTATTTTTTTAGAGAAGCACCCAAGAGGGTTAATGTTTGCTTGCACTGCTATTACGGAAGGCATGATTAGCAAGAAATGGACTGAAATCAGAGCTGAGAATGACGTCTTGGCTCTAAAAGGCCTCCAGTGCTGGAGAATATTGATAAATTACAGTTGAGCATTGCAACACTTTTATTTAGATTTCATTTTTATGCTTTCCATTGCTGATTGGAAAAACACAGATCAAAAAGGAATCAATGTAAATTAAGCTTTTACATTTGCTCTTCTAAATGGCTGATGTCTGGCAAGTTACTAGTGAAAAAGCTATTAGTGAAAAATCTCTTTGATGCCTAAGAAATGGTGTGCCTGGAAAGAATATCTAGCCAGAGAGGGTAAGTAGCGACAGCCATAATGGTTAGACTAAATACAGAAATCACATCTTTGAATAAACCACTCACTATATGGAAAAAAGCTTTCATTTAATATATATGTGATTTACTATATTATCTTCTTTTGTGTTTTTCACATCAGTGGAAAAGAAGTCCAGTAATTTTGAAGAACTTGTACTTTAGTTGAGTTTTTCACTCCATTACACATCAAAGGGAACTATTGTACTTTTTACTCTTATCTTACAGCTATAGTTATTTTTCTGTAGTGGACAAATATGTCTGATCTGATCATGGTGACAGATAAATAAGGCAAGCAGTCCCCAAAGTTACAATTCATCCTTAGGAGAACTTGTATGCATGTCTGCACCAAATTTTATGTCAATGCATCCATTCTTTGTAATAATTTCTACTTTGAGGCCCTTGTCATCTTTATGTCTGCAATTTGTCAGTTCTAGTTACTGCAAAACTTATTTCACCTCTAAATTTGTCAGATGGTTTCATTTCAATAACCGTTTAACCCCCCAATAATGTAATCTCTCTACTATTTAACAAATAAAAACACAGAGCAGAGAAAAGTCCAAAAATGTAAATTTGTGCATCAAACTCTTCTTTTTTCCTGCTCCATAAATCACAACCTTTCAGTTTAATGAGATTAATGACAGAACCACAGGACTAAACTACCTAACTGCATATAAAGCAACTAAAATGTGCACCACTTCGACCTGCTACAAAATTAAAATGTTATTTACACATTTGCATCAGTATGCATCAGTAATAACAATCATAGAATACCAGTCACAGGGGCTCTATTTCCACAGGAAAAGTACTATTATTCTCACTCTTGGCTCCATTTTTTCAATAATTTTTCTTGATTTTGGGGAAACATAAGCTGCAGTCTGTTTGAGTCAAAGACATCACTTTAGATTGTCTCATTTCTGTACCAGCAAGTTGCTTATTTGCTAGAATAAGTTTCAAAGTCTGCAGAAGAGTAATTTTTTTTAGTTTATTCTCATTGTAATTGCTTTATTTCTAAGTTTTTTTTTTCATGTTGTGCTTTTTGCAATGTGCATTGCAGCTGTATTTTTAATACCCCAGCAGTCTGAGGAAACACATTATAGCCTTGGGGTTGTTTTGTAAGGAATATAGATTGTTTGAGTAACACTACACAACATAGATGGTGCTCTCTTTGTTATGCTGCGTTTCCTTGGAGAGGATTATTTTTCTGGAGATCTTCCTCTGGACTGCCTTCAGTACAGAATGGAAGTCTAAGGATTTTGCAAAACATATGCAAATGGCTGCTGTTCATACAGTGCCTGAGGAGAATGAATACATTGCTTGGAGACGCAGTGTATGTAGTGGCTGAGGTTTTCTGTACAAGAAACTATTCAGGTGCTTTAAATGCTCTAATTTCATCTTTGATTTCATGCACAACATTTATCAAACGTAAAGCTATGTTTTTTGAATGAAACTTTGCTTAGTACAAGTACTATGACTGTTGGCAATACACAGAACAAGTTTACAGATCTCTACCGCTTCAAAAGAGAACAGATCATTTTCTTTATGTCACTTGTAAAAGAACCATTTATAACTGTGAAATTCAGTCAATAAATTCTCCTGCCCTCTACGGTTTTTTCTCCCTCTGCAGAACACCTCACAAAATGTCACCATGAATGCCTTCAGAATATTCCCCAAACTCTGCAATAAACAAGAATGAGCGAGTACATAACTCACACTGTAAACACCTTGGGCCTTTTCACAGGATGCTCCATTCCCCAAAACAATGTTTTATTGTATTAAATTTGATGCATATTTCTTGTGGCAGATCAATCTCCTGTTTTCTCCTGTTTCCATGAAAACCCCTAGCTCCTCCTTGACACTGCCAAGCTAGCTAGGTTTTTATGATGTGCTGGGTGCACCCTTGACTGGCTTCATGAGGTGTGAAGTTACCACGGTCAACTTATACAATAAAAAGGTCCAAGATATAGAGGTCTACATGGCGAAAATGCAGAATCAGCTCTGTGTATAGTACCGTCAGTGCCCCATTCATCCTTAACATCCAAGAAATATACCTTGCTTTACAGGGCTTTCTCTCTTGGAATATGATCAAATAAATGCTTTTTTCAGTGACTATTCTTAAAAACAACAATATTAAAATGATGACTATGGATTCTATATCCTATATACAGTACATGTAAGACCTACTAATCTCCAGTTTTCACAAACAGATAGCAAGACTTTGATACTTTAAATATTCAGAGCCCATTTCCAAGCATTGCAGAATCTTGTGTAAGACAGGATTCTTTTGCACAAGAATACACAGACAGCTGTGGTAAAGAGTGTTTCCATGTTTCTGTCAGTAGCTGTATTCCACAGCAATTAAGAAAATGAAGCAATGTCCAGGTGTGCATAGCTTGTTATATATGTGAATAATTACCATGTCTGACAGAAAAATCCTTAAATCTATAAAATATAAGAATGGTAAAGATGTTACACCAGCAAAAAAAAAAAAAAAAATCATACAGGATATCTTAAAACTACAAATCTTCTGTTTAAAAATATTGCTAACAGATTCTCTAATTGTAGTCTTCTTAATAGCAAATCAACTAGTCAGCTTATGTGCTAGAGACCAGCAGTTTGGAAATTTAAAATTAACTTGGAAATGTAAAAATACAAACAGAATTATATCTCACTTAAGTTATGATAACTAATCACATGTGCATAAGTGATGTGCTGGAGTCTGTTTATGCAATAGTGTGTCACTTGTTGAAAACATCACCACTCAGTATTATGAAAATCACAATAGAGCCTCATTATATCTTAAAACTACAAATCTCCTGTTTAAAAATATTGCTAACAGATTCTCTAATTGTAGTCTTCTTAATAGCAAATCAACTAGTCAGCTTATGTGCTAGAGACCAGCAGTTTGGAAATTTAAAATTAACTTGGAAATGTAAAAATACAAACAGAATTATATCTCACTTAAGTTATGATAACTAATCACATGTGCATAAGTGATGTGCTGGAGTCTGTTTATGCAATAGTGTGTCACTTGTTGAAAACATCACCACTCAGTATTATGAAAATCACAATAGAGCCTCATTGACCTTTCTTTCATATTACATATATTAAGGTTGGTACTGTTACTGTATATTGTCCCTACTGAAAAGTTACTATGGAAGATATATTAAAAACACACATTTGAGTGATTTTACCTTGAATTTTACTCACTCACTGCTTCTTTTCACTTAGGTTTTTTGGTCCTGAAAAAGTGGGTGTTGATGTTTTTTCTTTGTACATGTCCAGCTGATCGTAACCAGTAATGCAGCACACACTGCCCAGTCTGTGTGGACCAATGAGTCATGTCAAGTACATGAAAACAGATTCATGATTAAATATACAATTGAACTTAATAGAAAGTATAATCCCTGAAAATGGAGTGGAGGGGTAGAAATAAAAAAATACACAAGTATGAATTCACTGTTCCATATTGAAGCTTTTGGTTTTAGCATTTTTATATCTGGATCAACAATAACTGACTATCAACAGCTACGTGATGTATGTGTGGTTTGTTTACTTATAAACAATAAATGTGTTACCCTGTTAGGTAGCCTGCCACCATGTTAGTGAAGCTGTCAGACAGGGGGAACTATAAAAGCATGGACCTTTCAGCAGAAATGACCTTGATAACCATAATCGTTATCACTTCTACCATATTGGACTGATTTATAATGATGTTATTGTAATGTACAGTATATTATTCAATCAAAAATGTATTCATTACACTTGACCACATCAATGAACATACTAATGTAAGATGATGAAAATTAAAACAAACCAACAAAACATCTCTCCAGGCTTTGCATGTTGTTGCACCTACTACTGAATTAAAATAGCCTGCTGGTTGTTCTATTATCATTAGGGTCTCTTCAACAAGCATTTCTCCTGCTATTGCAGGAAGAGGGTGGTTTGCAAATTCTCAAATCTTATAAAAAATGCAGAATGAGCAAAGCAAGGGTAAAATATGGAAAATATTTGAAAAACTACATAATTACTTAAGTTTTAGTGAACACCACCTGGGCATGGCAGAATCATCTGCATCCAATTACAGAAAACGAAACAGTCTCATTGCAATATATTGTATTTAGTGATAAAGGTAATCCATTTATGAGTAAAACTTCACCTAAATTATTTGGGGCAGTTTGCATGAAATATGAATAATTTCTACCGGAGACTCTAAAGGGAACTTATGGTGGCTTATACTGACCCAGTAAACCCCCTACAGTCCCTGAGGTTCAACACAAATATGAGTGGCACCACAGCAGACAAAAGAACACCATAATGTGTGGTATGGTTGTACATATTGAGACTTAGAGCCAGTAAAACCTGTCTCAGGTGCTGTTAAAACAGCCTCTAGGAGTACAGTCTTTGTATCAGAATCCAGACTGACAGATGAGGTATCTCTTTCTCTGAGGCTGCAGATAACCCTGCCTGACCTCCAGGAACATCAGTTTGTAGAACTTTGTGTTAGAAATCCTCCTGAGACGGGTGCTCTGGAGCTAATAGGTACAGATACCATTTTCTTCCTTGCCTGCTGCCTTCTTCCTCATTCCACTGCACTGAAAAAATGTCCTTCTCCAATGCACATGGAAAGTCTATCAGACTGCCACAGTTTGCAGCAAGTTTGAAATTCCAACCAATGCTGAAAAGGCCACAGCAGCGTGGTGCACATGTGCTGATGAGATTGTTAAATCTGCCAAGAAGTGGTGACAAATTAATACATAATATCCAATGGCTTTCTTTAATATTTCTTGCTTTAGTGATAAAATATGTTGTCAAACTACCTAATATAATAGCAATTGGCTGAAATGCCTTTACAGTATATTTATGTTTGGCTTTAATAGTGTATAACATGTTACATGTGTATTTACTATAGACATCATAAGACATCCCCCACGTTTTAGAGGCACAGCAGTCACTAGTAGCCACAACAAAGCCTAGTATCCTTGTATAATCATACATAGTTACAAAGAGTTGGTACAACGTGATTCTTCCTTAGTTTCAAATGTTCGCCATGTTACAGGATGGTTAATGTGGTCAGATGATTTCCATATAGTGATTACAGTGGCATATTGCACTCCTCTTTGAAAGGGTTAGTGTACCTCTCTTAACCTTCTACATACTTGATCTCAGGGCATACCAATCATTATCAATCATGCTTGATATTTTTGTTATACCAGGTAGTGTGGCACTCAAACAAGTGATACTTTTAGACTGGCTGATGTCAGGACAGAAATTAGGCCAATCTATATTTATGGGACCCTTGGCTTTGGAGAAATAATGGACTTTACAGTGTATATAAACTTGTTTCAGCTGTTATCTTGAATGATCATCATCTTCATGTTAGAGTCTTTATTTATTTTACAAACACATTTTATAACATGAAAACATTGTAATAGTAACCATCTCATACAATTTTATATTTGTGTATTTTTAAGCGGTATTTTAAAAGTCATGACTAAACGGAGTAACTTGTTAAAATGGGTATTTTTTGCAGCGTGCTTCATCAAACACAAGAAGACATCGATGAGAACAGGCTTCTGGGATATGGCTTCTCCTAGCCAACCAGAGCAGGGATGCTACGAGCGCCTCGCCTGCTTCTCTGACACCATTGGCTGTTCTCTGGAGAGTCGTTTTTTCTGATATTAATGACTGCTGAGGAGACGGCGGCTCATCTATGTGGTCCGTCTCACACTTGATCGAGGGAAGAGATGCGCTCTTAACATACGCTGTGAATACGGGAACGGAAGGGCACAGGGAACACATGAATGCCTTTCCATACTCTCGCCAACCTGCCTTTGGACTTAACCGTTTTGCTGGTAAGCGAAACTGGAACTGATTTCTCATCAACTGCGTGAAAATAAGATGACCACGCATTGTTGACGGGCTTTATGTTGCGCTCTGGGTCTCTCTAGTCATCGGAGCAGCACTCTTGATGGGAATATAGACAACACGAAGCTACTGTTCCGAAGGCTAGGATGGTTAAATCGGGTAAGTTTACTCTGTTTACTCTTGATATATGCTTCTGACATTTGCTCCATATTGTTCGGTTGCGTTTGCGCGAAACGCGTTTTCCAAGTTAATAAAAAACGCCCGAATTCGGTGATTTGGGGCTGTTTTACCGGACTTATGACCTCTTAATTGAAATAATACATTTTTTCTTATCCTAAATATATTCACTATTGTGTGATTACACTAATTCGTAAATTATAGACTATTGCAGGATTATTATGACTGGCCTCGGACCCTCGCTCGAGGATGCAGGATGCGCCTAAAACAGACAGGATTTATGATAGACTCTGTTTAGGCTAAAATCACAAATTAATGAAGAAATTTCAAGATGGACGTGTATGTGGGAAGCGATGGACTGGCAGTTTCATGTACCGAGGTCCGCTTAGTGAGCGCACAACAGACACGTCTAGAAGAAATCTATCGAATGGTGGCCACCTCCCTCTCTACCCCCGTAACCCCCAACCTTCCCTCTTCGCACTCTCCTTCCCACTACGTTAAGCCTCCCTTTTGCAAACAGAGAAATCTTACCGACACATGCAACGAAAGTGCATTACACTTGGGCTTTTTAACACAACCACTGCCTAAACAGTGAAGAGCGAGGAGTCTATTGCGTAATTAACGCAGTCACCATGGGGAATCTTCCAGCACACACGTCCAGGTAGAGAGAAAGAGTGATGGGAAGAGCTATTGAGGCGTCTCTTTACCCCCCCCGCACACCCCAAAATATTGTCACTCACAACCTCTTTTCTCTGTCCAAATGTACTGTATGTCACCCAGCAGATGCATTACTCAGGAATATTTTAAAGGCAGATAAACAGATAATGGCTGATAATGCCAAGCGTGATTTTCGCCAAGGGGGCTGCTAAACCTGAGTGCTGTACTCTTTATGCATGTGTGGTGTTTGTGTGTGTCTGCTTGCTTGTTCCCTATCATGGACACAATAGATTTTGGGCTCCATGACTCACCCAAGGAGCATATCAGTATGAAACACAGAGTCAAATGCCACATGAGAGCCACCATGTCCTCCATTCGATACCAAACCACACTGAGAAAACCTCGGCCCACATATTGTTCCTGACTACCTGCTGATTGAGCCAAGGCAATTCATAGCTTACATTCTAATATTTAGTCGCCAGTGTTTTACAGGAGATCTTTGAGCCCAAATATTTCTTATGACTTTTTCCTGCAGTTTTGATTTCATGTCATGCAAATACACAATAGTCCCACAGTTTGTGAAACTCAAGACCAAGTATATCAGCATACTTGTATCATAGCATTGTAGCCACAGTAATTTGTGGGTGACTGTGGTTCGGTGGGTAGAGCGGTTGGCAGTTCGAATCATGGCACCTGCAGTCCACATGTCGAAGTGTCCTTGGGCAAGACACTGAACCCCAATTTGCCATCAGTGGCTCTGAACGAGGCTGCCTCGGTTCTGTACCAGAGTACCTGTACCTTGTGTTTGTAACATACTGGACCAATGATTGTCCTTATCCTTACATGGCAGTTTCTCCCCAGTGGCGATATAAAGCAGTAATGGGCTTCTTTATTAATTTGGGCACATTTGTTCAAAACAAATCAATATTACATGTTCATAACATGTCTTTGCGAATTGCCTATTGATCTGTGTGTGAAACAGTGAGAAGCAGGGGGACTGGGTGAGGGGTGGGAGGTGGGGTGTAAAAGGTACTGGGCTGGCAGTGGCCTTGTGGAGGCTTGCAGAGCATGACAGGCAGCACAGTGTGGGTGTTCCATATTAATTTGTCTATAGACAGAAAGCAGCAGGTTCTTGTGAGGAAAGAGAATAGCACTACTCTTAGTTCAAAGTGGAGTTCAGGAAGCCTATGATTTCTGTCATTGAAACAAATTAATCAAGCTTTTTCTCCCATAATGGTGATAACAAGATGCCCAAGGATGTACTGCTGCTTCTGAGTGAAATGCATGTAAACATATTCACAAGAGGACTGCAGGGGATCAAGCTGGTGTAGCCGAGCATAGGCTCTCTGATAGCATCCTGTTCCCAAACAAACACAGGCACCCACTACAATGGAATAAGCACAGAGGGCAAAGGAACAAGAGGGGAGAGTGGTGTCCATGTTCGTTTTGGATCTAATGGACTGTAGCAGACCCAAATTATATGAAAACACACAAAGAAAGGAAGGCGGAAAAAGCTGAGGATCAAAACATGATTTGATGGCAGCATCCATGACATTTTGGTATTTTCAGTCCCTATCAATGAATTGGATGCAACACTTCCTTTGTGTCCAGTGGCATTTACTTTTATATTTGCATTTTAGCTATTAAACTAGAACATGTTTCTGAAATGGCTGGGTACAATGTTTTCTGCTGTAGCAACACCTCTTTAACAAAAGGTGTATTGAAACCAGTCATGTTTAGAAGGTAATGTCATGTAGATGGAAAACAAAAAGACAAAAACGCTGACGCTGAGGTAAAAAATAAATAAAATAAAATCTAAGCCATTAAGCACAAATTAGTCTGCAGACTCATATCAGAGCTGGACATGATAGGGACATGTGCCCATATTGGAGATCAAACATGAGTGGAGAAGAACAGGACGACATGTAAGGACTACTGCTGTGCCTTCCATCTGTTCTGCATTAGTATTCATACTATACAGTACATGTACTGTAGTTCCTCAGTGTACAAATGGAAAAACTTGGTGAACAAGTGAAACAAAGACAAGTGTTCATGTACTGATGTACTGCAGTGACTGAAGCATGGAAATATGCTTGCATGTACAGACACACATGCATACATACTGTAGATGGATGCCTACATATGTATAGAAATACGCATAAAAGCACAGATCAGCCAGGCATTGTACTGCTGAGTCTCTGAAAAAGATACAAAGCCGTCATGCAATTTTAAAATACCACATCTTCTATCTCTTTTAGCTGAGGAAGAGTGGCAGAGAATGAAAACAGAAAGAGAAAGCTCATATCAAATCCCATGAAATCATAGCAGAGCGGTCCAATCCAGCAATACATTCATTTTAGTGGCATATAATGATTGATTCCATCAGCCGTAGGAACTTATTCCCTGGAGGCTTGTGGCACCTTGACCAGCCATATATTATTCATATAAATACAGATAGCTGTGCATCTTAGAGGCAGCGTGATTATGTTGGGGGAGAAATGAGTGTTGGAATGTTCACTACGCCTTTGACCTTATCAGCGGTAGCCTTAAGATGGATACCTTGGCTTAATCTTAATAGATGCAGCACTATGTGAATTAGACAAGGGGACCTAACTGTGCTCTTTCACTGTGTGGTACATTATGCAAATGAGCGAGTGCGTGTTTCTTTTTTTATGTTTTCTATAAGGATTCTTTATGCTAAATTAGGTTTGTAGGCTCATGTCTACAAACGCATGGATCCTGCTGTGTGTTTGCATGGGTTTCTGTAATCTGTGTGTGCGCCCAGGATTGTATCTGGATGTACTATGGCATTTGATAGTGCAGCATGTGTGTTCTTTCTCACTAAGCCCAAGGGCATGTCTTGCCCAGAAAAGAGCTAAAAAACTCAAGTCGGGGGTCCTGTGCTTAATTTGGAACATTGATTTTACATTAACAGCCGACTTGCCTCAGATTGATGGCCATACAAGTGCAGATGTAAGGGGAAAGGTTTTTATCCGTTCCCACAAAGATACACTCAGGCACACATACAGGAAGCTTCATTATGCATACACACTGCATAGAAGCTTCCCTTTAATTGACTCTGCCTTACCTTGGAAAAAGTATAATAGTAAATCAATGAGGTGAAGGGCAGTGTGAGGGACAGTAAAGCCTACCACGAGGCAGCCACCCACTTATGCATGGGATACATGGGGAGCTTAACTAGAAGGTCTGTCAGAAGTGGCTTGGTCATGTCCTGGCTGTGCTACGTATCAACCGTGGTTCCAGTGACCACTGCAAGTGTGTCAGAGGTACCATGTCCTAGAGCACTTTATTTCTTTCCTATGCTTTCATATTATAAGCAATAATATTCTCTACAAAATGCTTAGCAACCTGAGTTTTTTTTTCTTTTTTTTTCTTTTTTAAGCTTTGTGGCAATTAGTTTTATATAATTTAATGTTTTTTTATTGTAAGAAATGAGAATTTTCTTATAATTACATAATTGTTTGGGCAGTGACATAGGTCATTTACCTGTCATTATGTAGTACTGCAAATAAAAAGTGAAAATAAGTGGTGTTACATTACCCATCACAAGAAATATATTGATAATATTTGTATTTCAACTGAAATAATTTTATTTTAAACAAAAGTGGATTTGTACACACGAGGTGTCAGAATTGCAAACTGGTCTGGCAAAAAAAAACAAACAGGCATATAAAGATGGTGGAGCGGAGATGAGAGCTGCACCCAAACTGTGAGTGAGGCGCATTGCTCATATACTGTATCTAGTGTCTTATGATGCACTGAGTGGAATGTGATCGAGTGCGATGTGAACAGATCCCCAACATTAGCACTAAACTGCTTGCACCAAGCATGGGTGTTGCTAATTCGGAAATAGGAGCTACTGAGACAGACAGACATGTATACATATAGACAGATTTGTCACAGCAGGAGTGACAAATATTGAGAAGGCCAACAATAAAAAGAAACGGGAGAGTAGGATGTCTAGAAAGAATGATGGGAACCTGAATATGAGACAAAAATAAATGTCTACTTTCTCTATAGTCAATAGCTTGGGTGATGCTAATGATACTAATAAGGGAACATAAGAAGAAATGTTCACCACAAGGATTTAAAGAGCTGAAACAAATGCGAGAAAGAATGATAAAAAGGACATGGTTTATAAAAAGAGATATGAGGTTGCATTATCACATAAAAGTGAATTTGATAAAGAAGTAACTGAGGGAGAAAAAGTAACAGAGAGGGTGACTTGAAGAAGAAAACCTTCAGAGGCTTATTACCAGAGAATCAAAATTCCCACTGAACCATTTCTACAATGCACAGGCTAT